GCACAAAAGAGAAATCTGCATCCTACTGAAACAAATAATTCACTGTTTCCTTGATGAGCAGACACGAGGAATAATTAATTTCCTCATCACGAATGTGAATTATTTGATCAGTACCGAAATTGATAGAAACTTGGTCTTAGGAATTACTCCTAGTGAAACGGTTATTCACCATGATGTTAACTGGACAATGAATTAACAGATATTTACACAAATACTTGAATGACTCATCTTCATTAAGAATAATGCGGGCACTAACAAGTTTTTTTCCAGTTGACAGGTAATAGAGGAAGTTCTAATTATTGATTATATTAAAGGAGCGGGTAAGCAGTGTTAGTGGTGTCGTTCATTACAGTGAAAGGCGAGCCTCCACAGGCGCTGCTTTGACTTCACATCGGAGCCATTAAGTTTACCATCTATCCGAGGTCAGGAGCTTGGTGCCAGACATGCTCTTGACTCGTTGGTCTCTCTAGTCAGTGTAAGAAAGCCCTATTAGAGCGACCTCAGGATTCCAGAGAAAATCGATTCGACCAGCATTCAACGAGATTCATGACACAAACGAAAATCCTCAGTAAGCAAGCCGAAATGACACGGAAAGGAGTTAGAAGACGTTTGTGGATGGTGAATACAAGTAAATTAATCGAATGCACGCAGTGCTAGGATGCACAATGTTATACGTGTGATTTCGGGTCGTGTAATGAATAATAAAAAAACATTGGCATCGCCTAGAAAATCAGCCAATCACAAACAGGACTATGTCATTTGCAACGAGTTATTCTTAAGTGGAAAAAGTTTTGGAAATTAATTGATACTTGACGTAAAAAGTAGTCAGAGCTCGTATGACTCGTAACTTTGTTAATCAATGAGCATCTAGATCGGAAGCCAGTAGTCTTCATTCGTCGATCATCCTATTCCAAAGCTATCACGGTGGCCCAAATCGCTACAAAACACGAAGGGCAGCACACACTTTTTAAGAAGCCTTCTATTTGTCTCTCCTTCTATTTGTATTTTTATTAGCGGGTGTTATTTGCTTTTTTGCAGAGAGTTACCCATAATTGCCAGCAGTCCTTGGAGTGGAGCTTGCATGGTGGTAGAGCTGCAAAGCCTATATAACTTTCGACCATTCGACTGAAGAATTTTAATTTAATCGAAGCACATGAATTGTAGTCTGAACTCGGTGTGAGGCAATGTGGTTGTTTGGTGGAAGCGAGATCGAACCGAATGTGCATTCAAGTCACCTGATTGCAGGATTTTGGCCTAATCCAAGCGTATGAAAACCCAAGACCATGACATTCGGAACTTTATATGGGATAATTCCACTAAAAAGGTTGATCGATAAGTGGGACGAAAGAACGACATACAACATGGGAGGATTTAGTGAAGGTTCAAGGTATGCGAGTTCTATTAAACTCTTTCTTGATGAGTATCGGCTTGTATTTAAAGGAATGTTTCTTTAACAGGAAAAACATGGTGAAGAATTATCTAAATGCCTTCACCGTTCAACACTTTTCCTGCATTGACAACTCACATAATGGAAAAAGACTGAGATTCTGCTATGAGTACTTTATTCCCATCACTGTGTCTTAAGACATTTCGAAACAGGAATTCCATTTCCTCTTCAAATTCTTCCAAATATATGAATTACAAAATAGATCTGATTTCTTGTGAAATGTCTAGATAGCCCTGATCTGATAGTCTGTAAGACACAAGAAAAGGACGAAGAGGAAGAGGAAGAAGAATAGGACTGAACCACGAACGCCTGCAGACTTTTGGAATAGGTTGGCACTCTGAGAGTCCAAAAGCACTTGATGAATAGCAAAACAAAGTCATTTCACTGGCACTCATTTCGACCGATCCAGAAAACTGGTTACTAAGTCGTTGTCCGTTCAAAATAAAAATTCAGAATGCAACAACAAAGTCAATGTCATAAGCGAATAGGACCCAAACATCGCAGCAATTGCAATCGACACGGTGCTACTTCGTAGAGGAAAATTCAACACTGCTAATTGCATATATCAAAGAAACATTACGTACAACTGTAGTCACAGAAAAAAATAGAAAGCTATACAAATGCTGAACGTGAAAAATCCATTAACAATCTTTACTAGTGACATGGCCTGTGTTCGCTAACAAAATTTTCAGCAAGAAACCATTAGGATTGCAAATTACTGAGCGAAATGTTTACAATGTTAGGCGTGATGATGCTTTCCATATAAAGAGATTCTTTCCAAGATCTTATTTAGAACTATAAATTCCTCTCAAGCGTTCACTAAGTAGCTTTGAATGACATGAAGTACAAGAAAGAAAAAACGCTAGTGATATGCTATCACGAAAAAAGCAAAGTGATGTCGATCAAGATTTTCCGTTTTGATTTACGGAAAAATGAATCAGTTTCTACTGAGCACATACGCTGAACTTCTTCCTGTGCTACAGCTTCCACAGCAGCACCGCTAGCGACTAGATGTTCTAAAATTTCTATATTTTATGGATTCAGTTTAAGAAATTCTAAACCTTGCACTTTGATCAAATTCAAATTTAATTTACACATAAAACATGGATATGTTAGAATCTGGTTAACTGAGTCTTAAACCTTCCATTTTTCCTTAGTTGCAGCCTGTAGATGTGGTTCCGTTTTCCCCAGCATGAGTGCAAATAAAGCTTTGATGGATTAATTATAATAAAATGATGTCATTAAGCAAATAAGAATCTTCTAAGAACGTCATTACCTGATTGCCGTGTGTATGACAACATATAGAGTTTTTTACATAATCTGAATCTTACTGTGACAGACGAAGGCATTATCGGAAGTGCGATGCTCTGAAGAATGTTCCGCTTAATACAAATCAGACATGGATTGCAAAACTCCGTTTTATGTCAACAATCCAAAATCCGAGTTGTTTACATAAGCGCCAAAATATTTAAAGGACATACGGTTTGGAAAAATGGTGTTCCTTAACGATAACGATATTGGAAAAGAACCGTTAGTTAGCGACTCGCTGCTAAGAAATATGAAGCACATAGTAAAAGGAACATAAAGACCAGATGACCGAACTTCTTCGTGAATAATCCTAAACGGCGAATATGATGTTTTTCGCGTTTTTGAAGATCAGCACGATCCCTCAAGATAATTCTGGCATATTGACACTTCTATCCTAACAACAACCTGACTCATGATACAAATAACAGCTTAAGAAAGATCAACGCTTGTTTCTGCATTTGATTTACTTCCTGCCTGAAGTCGAATTTTCCACTTATATTTATAAATCTACCCAAAATAAAGCAATATAGGTTTAGATTAGGTATACCGAAAGAAACATACAACCACAGTGGTGCCGAGATATTTGCAAAACTCCGGACCGCAGGTGTGTGCGGTGAGGAACGAGCGCGCTATCACCGTTTCAGGAGGCTAACGCGTTCACCACCACACCATGATGGTCCTTGGTTTCGCGTCTCTCAGCTAGTTCTATCGATCAGTGTCATCAATAAGCAAACAGAGATAGATAATTTCGATCAGCTTCTTCTTCATAATGGAATAAAACCGTGTAGCCGTTACCGAAAGGGCGCGTGTGGTTCAGTGGGTCGGAGGAGCCCTGCGAGACACACGTGGAACCGATTCCTGCGCCTACTGCCCACCAAGCCTTCCATCCGGGGTCCAAAGATTGGTACCAAACTTGTCTGGGAGGATAGCAGCACTGGCTCGATACATCGGTAGACCACTGCGAGCCATCCTGAAGCCGTGAGACCCATATATGCATTCAATCACCTTCAACCGATGCCTAATGAAGTCAAATAGATGGCGCATCTCTTAGGTATTGATCAAAACCGAGAACTTTACCCTTTTTTATCCGTTATCGCGTAATTGGCTTTCATTGGTCATATTCATTTCTTTTCATGTTCAATTAAATCATCTTGGACAATTTAATACTACTCAATGCTTTGTGATGCTAAGAAATTCATTAGCATTCATGAAGAAAATCCATACATCTTACTGCAAGGACTTCAAATGTGAAACACCTACGAGGTAGCGGAGAATATTTTCTATGATAAAATATTCAAATACCTTATTAAGTCGGATTTTTTCATCGACATATTTATTGACATATTTAAATAGGCTTCACAAGTTTATTGTGAATGAGCAAGCAAACTGAAAATTGACCCCATTAACAGGCACAAAATAGTAACACGGGATTTCATCACAAGACCGATGTTCACTACAAAACTCTACCTCGTCAAAAAAGAGGAATCGAAAAGTCTCGACAGATTTGCAAACGTACACTGTAAGTTCTTACAATCATTATGGAAGTTCTTTTTTCGTTTCTTCTTCATACTAAAAAGAATAAATCTAGACATTCACACAGAGAGATAACATTTATGGTGACAGTATAAAACTGCACGATAGTGAAGGCATAAGCTTAATAGTAATTGTCTGAGTGTCTGTCTATTTGAGAAAGCTCATCGAACTTGATTTTAACGATGAAGTAATCGAACAGAACAAAAGCTCAGCGTCGATATAGTGATCATTATTAGATAGAACTTTGGCTATAGGAAATTTTATCACAGAATTGCAAGAGGATCAAACCCAAATCAAGCAGAGTGTTCACAGTTTTTATGACTACCAGTTCTAATATAATGCCATGTATAACCACATCCGTACAGAAAAAAGAGGTCATCAAACCGTAAAGACCTTTTAAATTCCTAATATTACTGATCATTTAAGTACAGGAAATTGTATTCATCAGACACAACCCTTACTTCTTCACGATAACAAAAATGCTAACAAAAAGGAGAAAAAAGAAAGCAGATCGGTGATGGAAGAATCACAATAGGTCGAGACGAATACGAAAAAAGAGATGTACCGTATCTGTATCACATAGGCGAAGCTCTGTACAGAAAATATATTGATAGAAAACAAGGATGAAAGCAAGAAATGACCTCTAGAAGTAACATTCACCGGTAGATTTGAATAGAAAGAACATCACATGCATTGAAATATCAAAATTTCGCTATGAATTGTGCACACCGGAATCTCCAGTCGCGTTTCCATTGTATACTTCCTGAAATAGCAGAGACATTTATCATAAAGTGAAATGTACTTTAAATGAATTTCAGAAAGATAAAAACAAGCCAATATCTTGGTGAAAGCCCACACTTAGTCGTTACAACAAAACTACCTCATTTCATGTTACTATAACGGAACAATTCCTTAGGGAAAAATCTTCTCTGTGTTCAATGAGGCTCTGTCCAAAATTCTGCTTAGTCTTGCAAAACTTGTACATGATTCATAAACTACTGCTGACTACTCATGCTCTCATCGTGTTGTTTTAAATAGGATTTTACAGCTATTTTGGCAGTGTAATAAAAGACAACAGAACAGCAGATGATGAAGTCTCACTTGTTCTTTAATAAATAACCTATATTATCTACTAAAAAAATAGATAAAGGCCAAATGCTTTAAGCTATAATACTTACGTTATTGCAAATTTACTGTGGTTATAGCCAATTCCCTCATTTGGTTACAACAACTGCTAATAGGACTGGCAATCTCTTGATTGGTTAGTTCACTTTGATCTCATACAGTTTAGCCTCACTGAAAACATGTGACTACATAGGCAAGTGAATAAGGATACCTTCGGTCGGTGATCTTCAGTTTCGGTGTTCGATCCTTCTTCATCAAGTACAGGAACCTTTACTGTCATGTCAGCCACTAACGCATTCAAATCTTCGGATCCTAATGAAAACACGTCACCGTTGGATCCCATTGATAAATGTGAAGTCTAAAGAAATAATTCTTTAGGAAGCTCATTTTAAAAAAACCAACAAATAAAGTGAAAGAACATTTTTTAGGCCTAGTAGTATAATTTTGGGAAAAAAAAATTGGAAGCACGCGCAAATCTTTGATTAGAAATGAGGAAAAAGTGCGCTAAATGCTATTTATTTTTACAACTCAACTCGAGATCGCAACAAATGAGGAAGACTGAAAAAATTAGCAACACCGACCCTAAAAAATTCAATAGCGATGAAAGTTATTAAGGCGTTGTCCTCTATGAATTGTACAATAGATATCCTCTATACGAAAAATCGACAAAGTAATACACGTATTCTATCCATTACTTACAGAATCGTCGTCAACTTCACACACAGAAGAACCTCGAAGCTGATTTTGTGTCCATCCTTCAGCCTTCTGCAAAAAACAACTACATAATACTCTAAACTTGGGCAAAGTGACGTTATGCAAAAAAGTCCTTTTAAATAATAAACAGGAAAAATACGCAAGTACAGTATGCTGAATTATCGCCTGAAAAAAATGACTCGGTATCGTCTTCATTGACGATAACCGCCAAACATCGTCATTTTTCAATGGATTTCAATGGATATACTCACTTAATAGTTGGACGGCCCGCCCTCACTGGTTGTACGGGCACCAGCATATTCTCCAACTATCGGAGTTTTGAATGTCTAGCCATTGTCGTTCCCTGTAGTCCCGATGTCAGCCTGGCCAAAGTCTACTCCAGGTCGTTACCATCACAGGCAGTCGCAGCCCTTGTGGATCAGAGGGGGATTTGCCACCATGCGACTAGTTTGATACCAGGACGGTAGTGGATCCTGGTATTGATTTACTCTTAGCTGAACTTCCTGATGGAAACGTCGGGCTCGTCAACATGAAAGACCCTACCAGGCGATGAATCGGCCGCTGTACATCACAATTCGACACCCAGGAACACCTCCTAACCACGAGGAGGCGGTAAACCGTTGGGAGATTCAATGGATATAGATACGAACACCTTCAGCTGGTGATTGCCCAGTTTTTCAGGTGGTTATAACTGTCTCAAAGCGTTTTCAATCAATCTTGTATCAAAAATTATCAATACGTCTACGCGGTTTGTGGGATTCCTGCTGCGCGGAATAGCATCTAATTTTCAGCCATCACGAACCAGCCGATTTATTGACAATAAATGATAAATCTTCAGTATTATATGCTTGGTGGATTGTCAACATGATAGCATTGCAGAAGAGACTTTGTTGCGTCGTTCTATGGGCCATTAAACAGCATTTCAGAAGTAATTCCCATGACCGACTTTCTGTTAACCTCGGCATTAATTGATAATTCAATGTTTTTCATCAATAAGCAGACACGAGGTTGTTAATATAGAATTTATTAGAACACAATTGCTGACGTTTCGGCGGTTTCGCCTTCTTCAGAGCCGTTTATTTGTTGTAAGTATTTAAGTTAGTTGGTGGATAGTCGCCGCACAGAGTAATACATGGTCGATAACTCTCGACCATGTATTACTCTGTGCGGCGACTATCCACCAACTAACTTAAATACTTACAACAAATAAACGGCTCTGAAGAAGGCGAAACCGCCGAAACGTCAGCAATTGTGTTCTAATAAATTCTATATTAACAACCTCGTGTCTGCTTATTGATGAAAAACATTGAATTATCATTTCAGAAGTGTTGTGTGACTTATGATGTCTTTATTTCGACACTATTCATACGTGCATATCCTTTACAGCAACCATGCCCAACTTGCGATTAGAATAGCAATAACAGCCTGTATAATTAGGCAACGATCTCGTTCTTAAAGAAGTTTTTTATAAATTTATACGTCTACAAAGCAGCATTTGGTGGCTGACATCTGCCACAACATTTAAGTTATCGATCGATACAAAAAGAAATGGAAAAGAGTTCTCGGCACAAAGGTGAACCAACAGAAAGAAAAGGACCCTTAAATAGCTCATACAGGCCACTTAGGACTCAGCGTGTAATTCTATAAAATTTACACCCGTTATGTGTTAAGTAATCCAGTACCTATAGTTGCTTTACAAGACTACATCTTTTGTATTAGGAAAAGACCAACTTGCTAACGCACTGTTTTGGCAAATATAGTGCAAAGACAGAAGAGCAATAATTTTACAATCCCGTTCAACATGGCTTAATCAGGAACTATTACCACAGATTGTGAGGTGTTTTAAGCAACAAAGTAGCAACACTAAGTGATTATATGCTCAGTATTGCTTGCGATTCAGTAAAACCATCTTATCCTGAATGTTCTACCGACTAAGTCCAAACGACAAGTTACCCATTCGCAGAGCGAGGTGAAAGGACAAGTTCTCCTATACAAGGCATTGTGATTTTGTTACAAATCCCTCGTTGCTCCCACACTTCTACTTGAACTCCATATAAACCACTCATGAATTTGCGATACTAGTAATATGAATGTTTTTGCATTCAAAAAAGGAAATGAAGAATACCTCACCTTCAGTTCAAGCTGAGTGATTGTCTGCCTCAGTTCTTGAACGGATTGCATTGCTTCTGAATATTTCAGTCGTTCCATGATGCATTGCTCATTAAGTTCGGATTCCCTCTGCACACACCGCTGTCGTTCTTGTCTTAACGACATTTCCAACTCACGTCTCATCTAAAACACTAATGCTGAGATTTATGTAAAAACGTCGTTAACGATCTTCAGCTGTGCATAATTAAGCAAAGTATTAAAAGGAGAAAGAGAATGCAAGGTCTAATGAAAAATTGGAAACCTTTTGCACGGCCTCAATTTCCTCCCGAACTCGTTTCATCTCATCATCTTGCCGCCGGAGTTGATTAGTACACACATGGTTTTGTGTTTCCAGTTCCATTACCTGACATTTCAACGAAAACATCAATGGAACGATTATAGTAAAGAAGGACAAGAAACCTTAAACATAGTGGCAAGCCCACCTTTTGACGCATTTCTTTAAGTTCAGCCAAATTGTCAGCTTCTTTAATACGAACACCCATCAGCTGGTCTTCTAACTCTCTTACAGTTATACAGCCATCATCCCCATCTGACGCTCCACCGATTATCGAAGCAGTGATCTTTGCCAATTTCGCGCTGAAAGGCTATCAGTACCTTGAGGAAAAATAAAAAAACATACTTGTACAAAACTTACGAAAAGATTAAATGCATGATATATGAAAAAAAGTTATATACGAATTTCACAGAATGCGCGCCAACTGCGTCACACAACACACACTTGGTCTCTGGTTTCACTAAGCGCACCGGTAGAACCACCTTTTTTAAGTCTCAAATGTTGACAAGTTGCCAACTGACTTGTATGGGAGGATAAAAACACTAAATTCATACATCTGTAGGCTTCTACAAGTTATTGTGTACGCCAAATAGCCATCCAATCGCCTTTACGATGCTATGAATGGAGTAGAATGCACAGCGCATTAGTGAGATATAGACTAATGTTGGACGATTTACACTTTAAATATACGTTACATTTTCTCACATTACTAGAAAGCAAAAAAACTGACGGAAAATAAAGAACTAGCGACCTATTACGGTTCAATACGGTGCTGAAACAAACTATCAGAGATTAAACAATCTAGCTGAGCCAATTCAGCATCTCATTCTTCTAAACCAACTAGTGACAAACTCATCCACTAAGGAATAAAACAGTGACGTTTGCTGATAGAATCTCATAAAGTTAAAGGATAAAGCTCTCGGCGTCGATCAATCCCTGAGGGATGCCTTCGACTTCATTAAGCATTGTTGGAGGTGACTGAATGTGTATCTAGCCTATACAATGACTCGTGGTGGCCTCCCGATGTATTGAGCCAGTGCTGCTATGCTCCTAGACTCTGGTAAAAAATTTCCGACCCTGGAGGGATGGAAGGCTTGGCGAGCTATACGGGCGGGAATCAATTACACGTGTATGTCGCAGTGGCGCCTCCAACCACTGTGCCACACGCGCCCTGTCCAATCTCATAAGATTATGTGAAATAAATTCCTCCTTTCTTCACATCCTATCGGATTTACAGAATAATAAGCCGATATATCACCGTAAGAGCGAGTGTGGCGCAGTGGTCGGAGGCGCCCTGTAAGACACACGTGGAGTCGACCCCCACGCCCATGGCCCCAACAAGCCTTCCATCCCTGCGGGGTCAGCAAATTGGTACCAGACTTGTTTGGGAGGATAGCAGCAGTGGCTCGATACATCGGTAGGCCACCGCGAGACATTGCAGAGGCCAGATATGCATTCAATCACCTCTGAACGATGCTTAATGAAGTCGAATGCATGGCGCATCTCTCAGGAACTGATTAACACCAAGAGCTTTACCCTTTATTTATCCTCTATATCGCTGTAGATGATGGTCAATGGTGACAATTTCTGCTCATTTAAAAATGAAATGTATAAAGATATTATAAAAAAGATCTATCCTGCTTTCAACACAGTTCCAAAAAACTAGAATAGGTAAATTTTACATCAAAATAAATGGAAAATAATTCGTATGTTGCGAACTAGAATGAGTCACCATATTATGTAAAGGACAAAGAAATCGTTTAAGCAGTTAATGGAGATCCGACAAATATAATTACTGGCGGAACAGAACCAATGAGCAATTCAGCAGTAATCTTTTGGAAACCACTCTACAACCAATTTACTGATTCGTTAAGATGGATAAATTGGTCCATTACGGCTCCGGAATTGGAAAAAAATTTGCTTTGTTGGAAGCAAAGCGCCTCACTGCATTCTATTAAAGCTAAATATAAAGCTTCAGTAGAATGTCTGTACTATATGTCTGTAGTTGAGAATAACGCTCTACAAAAGTACTTCAACTCGCACTTTGTTAGAGGACGCTGAGCTTGAATAATATAGATTATTAATTAGTTCCTCCTTGAACATCGGCCACATTGGCCTATTGTTCAGCGCACTACAGTGGTTAACATTGTTACTAGATATGGAGTTACAACTCATTGCAGTTTCATGAAAAGACAAGGTCACGATGCTAACAAACAATTAGACTGTTTAGGTGAAATTAAGGATTCATAAACGGCAACTAAGAGGAAGTTTGGAGACTAACCAGAAGATTCCACTCACATGATGCTAGCAACAGCATTTCCGAGGTAAAAACAAGCGTACACTACTTACAGCAACGTTTTAAGAATGCTCTAATCGCGTTGTATCACTAAAGAAGGAATAAGAGTAGCCCGAATGGTAACATAATGCTAGATCCACATAGCAAATGAACTGCGGTAATCACATGTAAGATTGTCCAAAAATGGTTCGACTAATCTTAAATCTTCAACTTTCGAAGAATACAGGCTTACAGTAGGTATGGAAACATGAGAATATGAAACAACAAACCGTGCAGAATTTAGAGATGGTGTAGTGATTGAGTCAGTGGATGCAGTTTCGCTCTCAATTGAAGCCGATGCCGGATCAAATGCTCTCATATGCACGTACTTCTGAAAACTGAGTAATAATGTACTATTAGAAAAACGTTGTTGAAGGAAAAAATACTGTCATAAAAACTCAAGTTCATCTACAGTATTCAGGTCTGGTAGATAAAAGTTAATGAATTCTACTAAATCAAATGAATTTATCAAACAAATGATATCTGTACGGGAGCAGTAGAATTCCTGTTTGAATCATCAGACAAATATTTAAACATGAATAAAGACAGAATGGATCACAGCACATAGCTTGGCAATGTCAAGGTTGTCAAGTTTGTTTTCTTGTCAAGGTTTTTTTTTACATTTGTTATGTACAGGTTATGTACAGCTTTTTATCAGAAAAACGAAATGACTATCTTAAAAACACTTAGGGTTTAGCAAACTGCCTATTCTCTTATTCAACGCTCTCAAATTGGAAGAGGTCGAATTCCTGGATGATGCGTAAATAATGAAACTAACGCAAGTGAATAGTCGATAACTATTGACCGACAGACTAAAACTCCACTACGAACATAAAAGGCAGCCTAACCGAAGAGTAAGGAACGAAAACGTAATTACCACAGCGCGGGTAATTGAACGCTTTGCTAGTGTCTCAGAATTATCTAAAGAATGTAACCAATTGTAATCAAATACAATGATGTTGAAATTTTTACAAAACACAAAATCCAAGCCAGATTCGAACCTCAGATTACCTTTTCCAGTGACTCACGTGTTACCGACCGCACCACTAAGGACTTCGTTCTGCCTTTCTCTCAGCCATTCGTTTACCGTAACGGTGTCATCAGCAATCACCCACCAGTAGTTAGTATAGTAATATGCATCAAAATACTCAATTGTAGCCTAATGCGTAAAAATACTACGTCCCCAATAAATGACACAAGTGATAAATAATCAATAAAAAAGCAATTTTAAGGACTGGATCTCCTAAACATTTTCAATCGTTACGCTTAGACGTCACACCTATTGCTGCGAATTTCCGAGTCAATTTCTTCGAGAATTCAGAAAGAAAAAGAACACATTTAACAACGTGCCGCCCAATGCTGTTCGAGTTCAGAAAGTCGTTGCCGCATCTCCTTCACAGCCAGATTACTTTCAGCTTCACGCATTTTCACTGAGATTAATTCTTCTTGTAAACCAGCAATACCTTCAAATGGCTCATGTTCGCGTAACCGTTTATTCGCTGCTTCAAGTTCCTAAAATAAATTTTTTCACTGATACGGTGATATCGAGGATTTTTACATGGTATTTCCACTAAACACTCATTACGTAATATAGTTAAGAAGCTTAAATTTAACAAAACATGACATCGCGTGGAACCCATATTGCTAAGTACCAACCAATTCGAAAGTCACGAGTGTGTAAAATAATCTTTACCGTATAATTTAAGGACATTGGAATAAAAACTGAAGAGGGTGTATTTTGCCACTTAATCCTAAACTTCGACTACACATAACATAGCTCATGGAGAACTTTATTAGCCAAAGTGAAAATCACTGGAATAACACATGTTTACTGGCAAGACGGAGGTTTGTTTATTAAACCACGGCATAACTTCAATCATCCGAAGTTGAAGGATTTTTCTAAATCACTTGCAGCAATGGCTTGGTTGTAAAAGATTTAGGTAGTTGCTTAGCTGCTTTGATAAATAGCAATCGATTTACAAAGATTCGAACAGTGCACCTGATTCGGAGAACTTTTTCCACCGTTCCCGAAAGTTTCACAGTAAAAGTTATGCTATGTGTTGTTGTTTATCACAGTTGGGTCGACAGAACTGTTCCTTCTCAAATGATAGGTGCTCATCATGAACGTTAAAGATCTCGGCAAATTTAGTGGATATCATTTCAATGTTCCGCTCCAGGAATGTCAGCAAAACTGGCTTCGTGAAGTATTCGGATGTTTTGTCCTTGTCGAAACTGAACAAAATATCGTGGACTGTCGTACAGAATCCACTTTTCGTCCTATATGAAAACCCAGCTGGGTCGACAGTTTCCAGTTTTCTCATTGAGTTTTGTTTCAACTATTAAGCATAAACATGTCAATTTTTTCACTTTCAAATTCTCTGTGGCAATGAAATTTTTGCGTCCGACGTTCTTCATATTCAAGACTTCCATCTCTATCAGGTAGCTTATGAAACCAGCACAGTCATATCACGGTTCAGGAGCAACAGGAGAAGACAGCAAGAAAAGGAAAACGGAAAGCTTAAATGATACAGAATAACTTTTCTCTTCTACATTATATAAATACATAACGCCGGTTTGGTTTCCAGCGCTATGATGCATAGAACGAAGCTTAATTTCATCCATTAGGTACGTGCTGGTTTTCCAAAAAATAAATGACAATCTTTCGATAATCAGGGGATATGACGGGAAAAAAACTTCGTTCTATCACTCTATAGGTATGAACGGTTTGTATACTACCACTTATTTTGTGTTATTATGGTCTATCATTGAGCGTGAATTCATGCTCAATGGTACGAATTTCTCTGAATCCTCCAGCTACTTATATCAGGTCGAGAAATCAACATGACGAACGATTTGGCTTCAGAGTTGAGCAGAAGAAAGCGAGCGCGGAGACCAAAGAACACCCGACTCCATGATTCGTCCTGTCTTAATATATGCGTCAGAAACTTGGTTCACACCCTAGCAGGATGAAATATCACTCGGCTTTATTGAACGCGCATTCGAAGGAACGGTGCTAGGGGTCTCCCGTATCAGAAAAGTGAATGAACAGAACCGAAGCTCCGATCTATGTCAACGATCAAAAAATAGAAAGTTCCTAAACTATTTCGTTAACTCGTATATAATGCTGAGATACTTGCAAAACTCCGGACCGCAGGTGTATGCGGTGGGGAGCGAACGCGCGCTATTGTCCTCACCGGAGAGTAGCGCACTTCACTAGCACACCATCCGGGTCCTTCATTTTGCCTGTCTCTCAGTTAGTTCTATCGATCTTTTGCCATCAGCAATCACCCGTCAACGGAATTGATCTGGGGAACCCAAATCGGTATTTAACCCAGTTAAGCTGAGACAGTTATAATCACAACTAGCTGAGAGACAGGCAATACGAAGGACCCAGATGGCGTGGTGGTGAAGTGCGCTACTCCCCGGTAAGGACAATAGCGCGCGTTTGTTCCCCACCGCATACACCTGCAGTCCGGAGTTTTGCAAATATCTCAGCATTATATATGAGTTATATTTCGAAACATACCCTGCCATTAAAAAGAAGGCAGTAAATAAAAAGGGTTAAGATTATTTTCGTTAAGCTTTTATTGTAGTAGCATTGTACCCGTGTCGACCAGCTGCGCGTTAAGTGACGTGGTTAGAGGTACACTACAATGCAAATGAGTTTGATACCACGCCCCAGGCTCATCAAGCGTTCCATCCCTTCGGGGTTGGAAAATTGGGTTCGGATCTGTCTGGAAAAATAGCAGCGCCTAGAACTTCCCAATCCAGAGGCTTTACAACACTACGTATGGATTGCCATTCCATGCAGTTGTGAACCAGTTTCTTCTCATCCGATGCTCCACCGAACTTCAACTTTGCTTTGCTGAGCCATAATAAATATTACTTTTGTTGATAATTCACTGCTATTATAATCATTGTTATTAAGAGCAGTATCTGAGCTACCACAGAAAATCTGTTCGACGTCGTTGATAGGAGAGGTCAGCGTCCCTTTCCCAACCACTGGATTTTGCCAGTCGAGCACTCATTCTTCTTAGTGTCCCGAAAGAGCGGTGCTACGGCTTTCGCACGCCGTCAGTACATTCAGTCTCAGCGTTTTGTAAACCGGAGTGAGATTAGCTAACTCACGACTGGTGGAATGACGGCAGTTATTCATGATGTTGGTTCTCTTTCCATCGAACTTCTGGATGATATCGTCAAACAACTGTTAACAAATAACCTGGTCAGCCTTCGTGACTCTGTCAGTCGTCAGTTTATAAGCCATTCTATACGTCTAACTATCGAAAATAAGGTGGGGTGGACACTTCGATGGACAAGAGCCGTTAGTAACTGGATTCCTTGAGATGTCAAACGTACTGCAAGAAGACTACCGACATTGATAATCAGAGTTCTTCACGAAAACCCTGGAAAAAATACATGATGCTCAACGAGACCTTAAAGCGACCAGAACCACTGGGCTACTCTTGCACGCGACAAGAAAAAATGAAATATTTGATGGCGCCAGTTCGAGTCAGTTGACAGTCAACGGGACGACAGGGGAGAGTGGTGTAGATGATGGTCCATCACACAAACACATTGCTGTCAGAGCATCAGAAGTGTTTTGCAGCTTACAGTGTGTCAATTCGGTCACCTTTGTACCCGCACATCCCTCACAATACTATGATTAGTTTAATTACAGCTATTAGAGTTGAAATAATATCTAAATACCTATGAAACTACAAGTCAATGAACTTGTTCGAGAAAAAGTTTTTGTATGTTTATAAGCGCAAAATGTCACTTTTCAGGATCGAAGTCCAATACAACACTTGTGTTGGATAAGCTATCGAACAGAATGCATGTAAAGCGTTCTCTAACAGTTATCGACCATGTATTACTCTGTGCGGCGACTATCCACCAACTAACTTAAATACTTACAACAAATAAACGGCTCTGAAGAAGGCGAAACCGCCGAAACGTAAGCAATTGTGTTCTAATAAATTCTATATTAACAACCTCGTGTCTGCTTATTGATGAAAAACATTGAATTAAGTTGCAATTATCGAAAGTGTTACTCCATCACATCAAATTTAGCTTCTATAGAACTATGGAACAAGAATTTCGTGAAAAATTAATCGATTTCATTAATACACCTTCTAAAAAACTCTAAACAGCAAAAAAAACGAACTAACAATTTTAAGAAAAACAAATCAAAATCAAAGAATTCTTGGATCCCGTTCATCCATTCCAAAATAAAAAAAAAACACTTCAAAAACTTGCAAATATACCAACTAATTGCTCTTATCATATACTTAGATCGTTGGATGGTCCGCCCTCACTGGTTGTGCGAGCACCAGCATATTCTCCAATTATCGGAGTTTTGCATGTCTAGCCATTGTGGTTCCCTGTAGCCTCGATGTCAGCCTGACCAAAGTCTACTCCAGGCCGTTACCATCACAGGCAGTCGCAGCCCTTGTGGATCAGAGGAAAATTTGCCACAACACTACTTCCATAACCTTCATACCAGGACGGTAGCGGTTCCTGGTATTGGTTGATAGAAACGCCGGATTCCTCAGCTTGGGAGACCCTGCAGGGGGACGAATCACCCCGCTGTACATCGCAGTCAGACACCCAGGAACATTTTCCAGCCACGAAGAGGCTGTAAACCGTTGGGAGGCCTGTCATACAGTATCTACTTATCACACGCTTAATATATAGTATTCCTGAAGACAAATTAAATACAGAAGTGTAAATTCCACATAACAGAGACAGTTGAAATACCAGAGGAATACAGTATTTCACATTTTTGCAACATATATTGTAACCACTTGATTAGTACAAACACAACAGATGTTCTAAGAATCGCACAAACACTAATTTTCAAGTGTTGTTATTATAAAGATTTCTAACACTTTTTAAAAAAATCCCAGAAAAACCTTTTTTTTCTAATGCAACGCGACTTTCTTAAAACGTATCAAATGCTTACTCACCAACTAGTTGTAATAGGTGATAAGGGGTTAAATGTAATGAATACAAGCATATTATCGGCTAATATAAGCAGTTTAAGTTTTAAAACAGTCTCGAGAGAGCTAAATCTACGTTAAGGAACATGTCTATGCTCAAATTAGTCATCATAACACATCTTAAGGATGAATTTCGGGAAATGAATGTAGACTGTATCTGTCATAACGCAACATCAGTCATAACGATTTTGTTGGACATACGAAGCAGCTCGTATTTTACCTTGCACTAATGATTTTGCTAGCAATTGATTAAATAGTGCCGAAAGCACATTTGCAACAATGATCGACGTTGATAGCTATCGAACTAAAACGTCTCTGTACAACAGTGACGCATCATCGCTATGTACTTCATGGCCTACTTCCGTTCATATCGCCATCATCCTGTCACCCATGTACTTCTTCTTACTCACCGATATACGAATTTTGCATTCCCTTATTGTGTTCTCATGATCTGCCTGACGATTGTGACTCTCGATGAGTTCTTGTTGAAGTGAATGAATGTGTTCGATCATACTCGTATCGTCCACTTGAACAGCCGCATCCAACATTTCACCATGACGTGAGCAAGATAACTCCCTGTAATCAATCCATTAGCATTTTTTCTCAAAAGCAATAACTTAAAAATTCACTCTGAACTAGTTTTTTTTTATTACATAAAGTGCTTCTTGTAGGTTAGAATGGCGTCAAAATCTTAAATAAAGCTATTTAATGGTTTCAAGATATTCGTGACTTCGATTTTAGTAGATTCATTCATGAGCCACACATTCAGTATGAACTTACAACAATCTGATTGTTTAAGCGCTACAACGAAAGCGTCAAAAATCGGGTTAACACTTTATATTACAAAATTTTGCACAACTAGATAGCTTAATAGTAACTCCAATGATGCTGAGATATTTGCAAAACTCCGTAAAACAGGTGTATGCGGTGGGGAACAGACGCGCTATTGTCCTTTTTGGGGAGTAGCGCGTTCACCACCACACCACGCGGGTCCTTCGTTTCGCCTGTCTCTCAGCTAGTTTTATCGATCTTTTGCCATCAGCAATCAGCCGTCAGCAGGATTGATCTGGAGAGTCCAAATCGGCAACGAACCCAGTTAAGCTGAGGCCGCAGTTCAGCAATCACCTGATGGCAAAAAGATCGATAGAACTAGCTGAAAGAGGCGAAACGAAGGACCCGCGTAGCGTGGTGGTGAACGCGCTACTCTCCGGAAAGGACAATAGCGCGTTCGTTCCCCACCGCATACACCTGCGGTACGGAGTTTTGCAAATAACTCAGCATTATATTTGAAGATAGTATCTCACCTTATAGTGTCGTAGGCTTGTTCCAGTTTACGATGAGCATCTGAGTTAATATCTCGCAATTTGTTAAGTTCATGTGCAATATTGATTGAGTTCTCTGCTTCCTGAGCCAAATTAACCTGGAACAGGATATTACTTAAATTATATTATACCCGATTAAAGTGAATTGCGATCAATAGACAGAAGCGGCGAAGAATTGGCTCCAGTAAAGATAAAGGATAAGCGATAAAATGTTCGACGTTGATGAATCGCTTAAGGATTCGCTATGCGTTCGACTACGCTGAGCATCGTTGAAATGATTGAAAACATGTTTGGTCTCCACAGTGACTTGCGAAAGCCTACCAATATAATAAATCAGTGTTCTCATATACGAAGAAAAGTATAATGATATGAATTTTCTAATACCAGAGGTACTGAGGGGCTCGTTTGCTCTGAGGGAGGCGAATCGAGCCAACTATTGTTTGTGTTGTCCAAAATCTCCAATGATTTCGCTATTTGCATTCTGATTATGATCATATAGGAAGATCTCTGCATCTCATTTAAATGTTTTCAATTCAAATTATCTGAACCAAACTCCGCGAATAGGATCGACATCAGAAAAAAATCTTACCTGACCCTTAACAAGCCGATCAGCAAGTGCAGCTGATTCAGCTTCCAGATAGTCGATTCGTTGTCGTAGTAGACGATTCTCGGTCCGTAGTCTCTGGAAAATAAAGAGAACACATTCAAGTAAAAATGGCGTCATAGTCATAATGGAAATGTTGTTCTTCTAGACGTCATCATACAATTGTAATTACCAAAACTTTCAGAATATCTCAGTCTCCTTTTCTGACGATAACTGGCTGATTCACCAAGCTTGATATTTTCACAGCTATCGTTTTCTGTTGTAACAGATGAAGTTCAACAGTGAATATACTGATGGACAGAACTTCATACACACATTTTTTTCAGATGCAAGATTCTTTCCAAGTGTTTCAACGGAACATAAGCAGTTTACAATCACTCATTTCAATAGAAGAAAACGGAAAACAAAATGAGTCTAAACATTTCTATCACATCATGCTTCAGCTCCCTATCGAATGACCACATACAGTATTACTGCATTCCTAACAACAGCATTATTCGTCATCAGAGAAGAAACTGTTATGAAACTTTGGCAGCCACTCTTCGTAACTACGTCATGTTATTCTGTAAATCTCATACACTAAGCAAACACTTATGTACAACTCGATTTAAGAAAAAACTCCAATTCATTTCTAGGAAAACCAGATAGGCATTCTCCATTATTTATACATTTAACGGAAAAATAGACCATTTTATTTCTAATCTGAGAAACGTTTACTAGTATCGTCTTCTACTAGTACTCTATCGGAAGCCAATTCAACGTGATTGACGTAACTCAAACAATGCTGTATTTCAGTCACTTATTGTTAAGAAAACGAAAGAAAAACGGCCTAAATAGAAATCCCATGAAAACCAATGCAATTACCCTATACAAGTGAATATACCAAAAGTTTAAGAGGGACTCGTTTTGGAATAGTGCAACCAAAAAAAAACGCACTGTATCGAAAGAAGGAGCATATTGAACATAGACAGACACTAACCATAATTGTTAGGATTTTTTCCACTTCTCAGAGCCTGTCAGTAATTGGACTGCTCTAACAGACGTCGGTGATTCAAGTAAAGATTACGCAATACTGTAGTTATTTATGTCGGAGAAAAAATCCCTATGATCTATGGTTTTGGATTCCATAATTACGCAATGTTTCGGAGATAATTCAACCTGTACCAATAATGTAGGCGGAAGGCAATTGGCCAGATAATCACAATGCACAGGAGATTAGCGATGACCAATCATTGATGTGCAATGTAAATGACCACAGTGTCACGAATGAATGAATAGATGAATCGAATACGATTCACATGTCGTTCACTCCCTCTCATAACTACGCAAACAAGCGATTGAGAGCAAATTTGTCGCAAATATGGACACCTTTTGTCGTTTCAAATACGGAGCGTCAAACAAGTCGATAATTGTCGTACAAACTGGTTTTTGCTCTATCTGGTAGTGAAGTGGACGCCGCCAGCAATAAATCACAACATAAGCATGAGTGATTAACACGAAATGTCGCGCTCACCTCTAATACAAGATGTGAACACATATTAAAACTAATCGATACACAATAAGTGATTCGATTAAAGCACTTTCCTTAGAGTACGAAATCGTTGCTTTGTGTGATATCACAACGGTCTTGATGGCTAATTGACAACAAAACCGATGAGCTCTTTCACTCTTAAACCATCTATCATACCCGATAGAATTGATCCTAATTCGCCATTACGTTGCACAACTTTCACTCTATTTAATCCAGCGACAGTAATCCAACTTCTTTTGAAGAAATCATGATCGATTCACGACTGTTCGAATTCTTAACGGTAAATCCCGAGATTTCAATAAACCAACCATACCATTAAGCATATTTCTACACACTGAGATTTGTCATGGTATCATTAGGAGTTCAAACCTAACTAGGCTACAACTTCTCTTAAAAGTGTACCTAAAAGTTGACTTAAGAATCGATATCGACGACCCAAACTAGACGATTTTCAATAAGCTTTTTTCCTCGCTTTTTTTGTAAAAATAAATAAATCACCGCTTTTGAATATCATGAAAAATAAATTACCTTTTTGGTCCAAATGAATCTCTTCAACAGTCGTCGTTTCCAAGGTCGCATTGCTAGTAAACTGTGTGTTACCTAGTTAATCTATGTGGTACAGAAAGAAGAACATGCAATAAATGAATCAGTTAATGAGTAACTGAATGATTGAATGAGTGAATGAACGAATGACGAAGAGTTGAGGAATTAAGAAAGTCGGACGTACAGAGAGACGTTACCAGCAACGAGAAAAGGAACGAGAGAGGGCGTGGTACTCTAACGGTTGCCAATCATACACTGACTATCCTATTAGTCTTTTCTTAAACACGAACACCAAAAAATGTTCTCGTTTTCTTTTTTTCTCTTTATAACTACGAATGGAGAAGTTCTTCGATTCAGGAACAATAACCTATTTAATAACTCTCGCATACTTCAACGAATTAATCATAGTGTTAGATTTTTTACCAGAAGAATGACAGAATACAAGGAAAGGATGAATAAGAGAGTCGATGAGAATGAAATTCTCTACCTCCAGACCAGCACCAACACTAACTTTCTGCAGAAAAGGGAAAGTTTTGATGGTCGAAGAACGAACAGGTCTTGCCGAAACAATCACCATCAATAAAACAATAAATAAAATTACAGTACCATAATAACTAGGAATATTTCAAATTTTTACTAAATAGAATAAACAAAACGAGTTACATTGGCACTATTAGTGATGAACTTCAGATGCCATGTACGACTAAGTATATTGTAATATGACAGGTGGTTACAGTGGTCGATTGGTGGTGGGTCAGTGAGCAGTCACGATATCAAGTTACTATTGACTCACGAAACGTTCTCACTGACCAAACCAACTATATATTTTATTTTCTTAATACAGAATAGAAAATAGCCGAACTTATTAAGCTGATCTCAATAAAGTTAACATACAGTGCTCATAAGTGGTAGTAGATTTGCAGATAATTCTATCTAACCAGTCGAATTGGTTTTTCTTTCAGTTTCTCCAAAGAAAAATTGGGCAAAATCTATTCACAATCAAAGGGAAAAAAGAAGACTATTATGAATGACGAGCATCACCAAAGAAACCTTGTCGAATAAAACGTGTGGTTCACAAGTTGGGAGCATAGAAGAAATGAAACTTCCAGTAAAATGCCAAAATCGTCGATTTCCGGATTTCGCAAGGAAAAATAAATAGTAGGACATAATGGGGACTAGATTTTTGGGAACAAGACAGAAGTAGTCACGTTATAGCGGTACAAGGTATCAACCTACTCCAATAGATAATCATTTTCCATCAAATGAACCATATAGCTAGCTCTTATATTTCAAAACAAATCCTTGGCCTTTTTATTGTGCCGATTCTACTCCATACTACTTTTCTCTAAGCCTGAGCTTATTCTCCAACTAATTCGTGCTCTATGCTACATAAATCTCTCCATCATTTTTTTTCTAGGTCCCCATTATCATTTCAGCGTGAGCTCTATCCCTCAATCGTATTTCAATCTACTAACTAACATCGCCTTTCCAGGAGTCCAAGGTCGTTCCAAGATACATTGAAAACAAGCTCAGTGATTACTGACTTGAACCGATAGTGCAGAGGTTTTGAACCAGTTCGGTGTGCAAAAGAACTCTACATGACTGCATTTGAAAACTGCACTTTAAATCGGACAAAGAAAGCTAAGTCGGCAGAGAGAAACTAATGTGCGACATAAGTCACAATTCTAAAAGATGTTAATAATCATCGTTATTATAAACCATAATATTCTCAAAATGCCCACATCACTTTAGCATAGTGGCTACAATAAAGAAAAAGCGTAACAAGACTATGCCCTAAGTCCGTCAAGTGGTAAAACTTCCTTCAACAAAGCAGCGACAAGACCAAGTTGCGGTCATATGATGGTGCTAATATCTCTGGTCAAACAAAAGCATGTCAGGCTATCAACATAGCAATTAAGTGAAAGCAAAAATGCTGAGATTCGCTGATAGTTAGTGAAGATGTATAATTGAAAGTCAAATAAAAATTAAGAAATTAAGCAATAGATAACGACTACAATGATATAACTCTTTGACGAAAGACTTCTGAAGAAGCTAGAACGTTTTTGTAAAGTTCATATAGAAAACCTCCAACAAAATCTCACGATTCATTTTACAGAGAATGTCAATTATTAACCGTACCGCATGGATGTCTTAAGTAATTTATTAGCCATCATAATATCCCACGCAGAGGCGGATGTCACAAGGATGTTTGTGTTACAATAGCTGAGTCATATAGTGAGACGTAGCACGATATCTAAGCCGTTAACAGATATCTGTTTAACAGAAAAACAAGCCATACAGAATTCTTCAAAATGAGGCAACTACTTCGCCATTCACTGGTAATATGTTCACTTTTGAAAGCCATCTCTAGAACAAAAACGTTTTCATCTGATCGAAATCGAACACGAAACGATGGCTTCAAAGTAAGAAGATCTCGTACGGTGAAAATTCTTCAAACAAACGATTTCAACGAACAATAACAAACATCTATTTTCTAACTAAATAGGAAAATTATTTCACCAAATAAAAAATCATTCGAAAACATTTCGCAAGAATAACAAAATACCGAAAATTCCATAGATTTCTTTCCATGATCAGCGTAAGTAAAAACGCTCCTCGTACACCGTCAACTAACTCAAGGTCAAAGTCGACTCACGAATTTCAATTCGCCTGATTTAATAAAGACTGTAATGAACTTATATACTTAACTTGCGAAAAACTCACTCGTAATTCAACAGCCTCTTCTTGCTCTTTTGTTCTCTTTGCCAAATAATCTTTCTCCAATCTGCAAATATCAGAAATCAATCAATCAACCAATCGATCCCTGAGATAATGATATCATAGCAGATCAATCAAATCCTCATATTCGTCATATCTGTAAGAAAAATTAAACACTTAGAATTTCGACTGCGGTCTCAGGATAACTGGGTTCAATGCCGATTTGGGCTCACCAGATGAATCCCACTGACGGGTGATTGCTGATGGCACTGATCGATTGAAAACTAGCTGAAAGACAGGTGAAACGAATGAACCGCATGGTGTGGTAGTGAACGCGTTAGCCCCCGGAAAGAGTAATAGCGCGTTCGCTCCTCACAGCAGACACCTGCGGTCCGTGGTTTTCCAAATATCTCTGCATCATTGTGGTTGCATTACACATAATACTCTGTCGTGAAATATTGCAATAGGCAGTAAGTAAAAAGTAACGTGGAAGTTCGTCTTAGCACTTTACTCCTCATTACAGACACACATTTAAAATATAAAAAAACTAAAAGCTTGATTGGATAGCTATTTTGAAAAACGGAAATGCACGATGTTTCCCACACTTTCAACTAGACTACTAGATGACATTACTCTGTAAATGTAACTAAACAGAGCACCTTTAAAAAGCTCAATATTATTGACGTAGTAAGAAAAAGATAGCCCAGTCTTGCCGTCGAATCATCAAATTAATCACAATGTAAGATATTTTAGATGTGTTTGTGACTGTATTTTCCCTGGAAACAAAAACACACATAGACACATAATACACGGGAACACAACGTCATTAACGCATTCACGGCGACATGCATTGATTTCAATGCATTTGTATCCAAAAACGGTCATGCCTCTCGATTTTCAAACAGCAGAGTTCAGCTCATACTTCTTAGTAGAATTAACAACCAAAAAAATCTGCACATTTTCTCTAACAGACATAGGGTTGACCTCGCTCTACAGCTACTGAATTTTAGCTTTTCGAAGACCAAAAAACGCATTTCACAAGTACGAAAGAGACTGAGTAGCGAGAACTATGTAGACAAAGACATGGTAATGTCTATAATCGTTTGTGTTAAAAATTCTAAAAATATTAACTTCGTTTTCACTCTTCTCTGAGCTCTAAATTCAAAACAACCCCCACAGCATATACCTGCGGTCCGGAGATTTGCAAATATCTCAAACCAACTTTCAAATAAGATAACATCTTTGAACAAAGTACTGAGAATGGTAATTCACCGTCTCTGCTATAAAGCCCTCAAATCCATGGATCTCCAAGTACTCTATTAACTGAGGAATTATTCGGCAGACAATTTCGCCAACTTTGTTGCAAACACATTAATAAAAATAAAATTTGAAAAAGAATTATAGTCAACTAAATACTCAGAAGTAAAATTTGTATCACATCGCTTACTACGTGGTGTTAAGCTGTTACAAGCTTTGAAAAAACAAACAACAATAGCCTTAATAGCGGGCATGTACTCGAATTTCAAAAAGAAGTTAGGGCCTGCCTCCCAACAGTTCACCGCCTCATCGTGGGTGGGAGGTGTTCCTGGGTGTCGGGCTGTGATGTACAGCGGTGGGATTCATCTCCCTGGCAGGGTGATCCGAGCTGAGAAGCAGTCCGGCGTTTTCATCAGGAAGCCTAGCTAAGAGTAAACCAATACCAGGATCCACCACCGTCTTGGTATCAAGGTCGCATAGTGGTAAATCTCCCTCTGATCCACAAGGATTGCGACTGCCTGTCGTGGTGACGACCTGACGACCTGGGGCAGACTTTGGTCAGGCTGACCTCGGGACATTAGGGAAAAATAATGGCTTAACCAGCAAATCTCCGAAAAAAGGAGATTATGCTGGAGCCCGCACAACCAGTGAGGACGGTTCAAGAATCAAGTATCGAGCATCAAGTAAGGACACGATCTTAAGCGAGGCAATTTTTGTTTTCATGCTTTCTTCGAAGAAATCGACACCGAGGCTAGTTAATCGCCTCAAGAAAAATAACTCACCGGTAATGAGCTACAAACATGAATGTCATCTACAAAAGGGAGAGTCAATTGAAAAGCATTAACCTTCGCATTTTTCTCGGATTTAGTTGAACTTTATTCGCCACCATGAACAATAAATCAGCGTCATTCTCATAACGTTCACGAATATCCCGTTGAAAATACTGCAATACTTAATACTACGACAAGAACCAAAACGGTTGGAATCATGTAAACATGAATGTAAACATGTAAACATGAACATGAAACATAACCAAAAAAATTTCATGGGAATTCACAGAAATGAAAGATACGGAAAACTTGTGTCGAATACTCAGCTAGTTCGGTCTATCTAAGATCGTCGATAACTATCTATCCAGTTTCGAACACTCGAAAAGCGAATATTCAGTCGATCTAACAGCATTTTTTGCCAAACTATGCAATCTGTTAAAATATTTTATATTTGTCTGAAACCATCTTTGAGATCTATAAAGGATAAAGGATAAAGCTCTCTGCATTGATCAATCCTTGAGGGATGGGCCATGCATTCGACTTCATTGAGAATCGTTGGAGGTGACTGAATGCATATTTCGCCTTCATAATGACTCGCGGTGGCATACCGATGTATCGAGCCAGTGCTGCTATCCTCCCAGACAACTCTGGTACCAATTTGCCGACCCCGCAGGGACGGAGGGCTTGGTGGGCCACGGGCGCGGGGATCGACCCCATGTGTGTATCACAGGGCGCCTCCGACCCCTGCGCCACACGCGCCCCTTGACGTCTTAATGCTGAAAAATAATGCTTAAGCAGGTTATTATCTTAAACAGTTGCTCCCTTTCATTACTGTAGTTGAATTACATTTTATCAATCTCAGTGGTAGAAGAAAGAAATTCAGAGAAGAGATATATTCAGACAAATCGAAAAGAAATCCATAACAGAAAAACAAAATTGGACTTTCTACTTCACCTTCAGCATTCCTTCCATATCTAACCGAAGCAGATCAATACGAGCTTGTTGTAGTATTGACATCGCTATACGGAATATAAATTCCATACCCTAAACAAAAAAAAAACAGCTATTCAATTGCTATACTTTACCTATATTTTCATAGAAACTTTGCTATATTGGTAGACAAATGATCTAACTATGAAGAAAACTTCTTATGCAAGCAATTCCTGTGACTGGTTTCCCCAGTTTCTTGGAGAGGATCAGAATCCAACAAAGAATAATTGTATGATTCTATTTTGTTGAGATTTCATTAGCACCTGTTTAGACTTTAAGCAACTGGTTCTATGCAAATATTACATTTTTAGAAGCATATCCTGATCCATAATTAAAACTACCAGGGTAGTGCTCAGCCGAAAATGTAGGTAGCAGTGTGAATGTCGGAATATCATTGCCGATTTTTCTGTGCCTACATTATAGAACATTTTTAGTAGAGAGTTAACTCATTGTTACTACCAGCCAGTAATCCGAAGTAAAGTAAAGAAAAAGAAAGCAAATCGGGATCTAGACGCTAACTGCTAGCAACTTTGTACTGAACGATGAAGATGAGTAGAGTCGATAGGAAACGAAACGTTGCCATCGAAGATGGCAATTTGAGCGGTTAATTAAAGCAGAACCAGTAAAAGCGTTGCAACAAAAGAGACATTCTGGGAAAATCGATGAAATATATTAAAAACTGTAAGGTTTACGATCGATATTTCCGAAACGTCAACCTACTCTGTTGAAACAGAAAGCGCTCCTAGGCACACTCTAAATGTTGGGTGAACTGACGAAAGGTAATGAAGTACTGGGTTTTCCACTACCCACAAAACTTCTTTTCATATGACCAACACTCTGTTAATAAGAAGACTGCCTGCATAGAAAAATGTTCCAAAACCAAACCACTGCTTAGAATGCCCTCAGAAGGTTGGTTGGCTCTACATAGCCTAGAAGCTAATAGAGGACAAACATGCAACTCGGTGAGAAAAATGAAACATGAACGGAGTATGTGTGTACCAATTTTAAGGGCAAGATGGACATTAATTACTGGGAATCCTCATATCTCTTCCGCTACAACCCGGATTTTCGATAGATTTATGAAATAAAAGTATCTATGAAAGTAAGAGGAAAGAAGAAAAATAATCCAAAGCAGAGAAAAGGGTGAACGCTTGGAAAACTATAATGAACTAACTGTAGAGAAAAGTAGAGTCATTATTTCCCCTTACCTCGACTAAGAAACAATCCATAATACGATTTGCTATTTCAATTGGCAAAGTGGTTGTGAATAAGGTAAGAAACCACGACGAAGCATACATAGACGTGTCAAATCCCATGTTGTTAAAGTGACTATGAAGATCAGGCATCTGTAAACTCAAATTTTTTCTCTTTATAGTCAAAGACATCTTAGATTTCTTTTCACCACTTTTTTTTCCCAATACTCTATTGATTCCTAAGTATTCAAAATCGAAATATCTACATTTACCTCCATTAATTTCACTTTTTCCCATCTAATATTCCAGTGTCATTGGTAGCAACTAATTTCTGGGGACGACGAATGGTGAAAAGGAGTAGGATTCGGAAGAGAAAGAGGAAAGCTGATCAGAACAAAGAGACGGTAGCGGAAGCATTGAAATCTATGAGGATCTACAGTTGGCCATCCATTTATACCCGCAGACGTCTTCGAAGCAAGAATTAGTAGAAGTATTTTTTAACATATGTTAGATTACAAAAGGATTCAAAATTTACTCAGTCTACTATGTCATGATTACGAAAGTACCATCCTAAAATATCCTATTTTCCATAAAATCCTTGTAATTCTCAACAAGTCACAGTGAAGAAAATTTTACTACATTCGCATAAAGAAAACGCTGGACTGCAACTGAACTTTCATTGCTGTAAAAACTCCTCAAAAGTATGTCTAGTAATCGGGAACGTATAGGGTATTCTTGAATTTATGGATTTCTTCATGGCCTAGGACCCCGAAGGACTTCTCTAGAGAATAAATGTTGGCAAGAAAAACTCACTAATCTAAGGATAGGCAAACACACCTGCTCTTGAACCAAACATTCTAGTTGGAACATGCATAAACCCAAATCCGTCATAGTGGGTTTATATAATTCCCGTAGACGATAATTCTCCATTAAACGAACAAGTACAGCAAATGCTTCTTCTTCTGGCATCTATAAAAAACAGAAAAAATAAAGTAACGATAACAACCATAGTTCCACAAAAGTCATGAAGCAGATAGACGATGTTTAAAATCGGAAAATACAAAAAGCGCAGCAAGACGAAGGTGAAATTTAGAAAAAGAAACATACTTGCATAAGCAACAATCCCACGATGAACGCGCTGCCTTGACAATATCCTACCTCCTTGTCGTGTATTGAGTAAGCCTTAAATAATGCAATATAGTGGCCTTAAAGTAAATTTTATATACTGAACCCTGAAACTTTCAGCTTCTTTGTCTGATAAAGCTCTAAAAAGCTCTAAAGCTCTAGGCGTTGATCAATCCCTGAAGGATGCGCCATGCACTCGACTTCATTAGGCATCGTTGGAGGTGATTGAATGCATACCTGGCCTTTACAATGACTGCCGTGGTCTACCGATGTATCGAGCCAGTGCTGCTATCCTCCAGATAAGCCTGGTACCAATTTGCCGACCCCAGAGGGATGAAGGGCTTGGTGGGCCAGGAGCGCGGGAATCGATCCCATGTGTATTGCAGGGTGCCTCCGACCTCTGCATCGTACGCGCCCATTCTCTCTCTCTCTCTCTTTCTCTCTCTGTAGTTCCAATAATAATTCGACTATGAATTCAATCTCTATATTGTTTTAATTTTAGTACATGTTCAGGGTTGAACAACGGCTGAGCATGTAGCGCAGTTTTTGAAGGTGCCCTTTAAATAAACACCTCGCTTCTAGTTCGATTCCGAACCGTGGGCTCTCCAAGCCACCCATTTCTTCGGAGTTGGTAGGGAAATTCTTGTCTGGGAGGGTAGCCGCATTGACTTGATATGTTTGAATCATACGTCATTTTACAGGTCAAATATGCATTTAATCACCGTTAACGATATCCGATGAAATCGAATGGAAGGCGCATCCCTCAGCAATTGATCAACGCCGGGCGTCTTATCATTTATTTTATCCTTTATGGATACTTAGTGACAGGAGTACACTGCCTCTTTGATTGAACTCTGTGCTCTGAGCAGTGAAGCATTTCAATCTTTTGGGATTGACGAAATGGTAGCCGACTTGTATGCAAAAGACTAGAACCATAGTTGCTCGTCATTTGATGTCTAATTGTCACCGTAAACTGTCTAGGCAGAGAAGATTACATTTGTTACTATAGCACATTAGAAATGATCACGAACATCTAATCAAGGCTCTAGGAACATCACATCGAAAACCTTTTTCCTTCTTATGGTTGGCCTTCTCACTGTTCCTAAAGATCACGATGATATCGCAAGTTCGCCAGGCTATCCCGTGCCAAATGCTACACTCCGAATCGGCTTTGGACGAAAACCTTGAACCCTTTCTCGGCTTAGATGATCCAGTTCGGGAATGAATCTCCGGATATACATTGCAATTCGGCACTCAGAAACATCTTCCAGCGGCGACGAAAGGGTAATACTGTTAAGACTCTGATCTCAACCTACTATTTGCAGTGAATGAAAACATCACCATTTACTATTTTACTTGGTTTCAGTTTAGTTTCTGGTTATTCATATTGATTTATTAATAGTGAAAGAATTAGTGCAAAATCCATGTCCTACATTGTACGAAGAAACGCTTTTAGACTTTTAGGTTTACTAACAACAAAATGAATGGCTTGAGTTCTCGCACTACGAATCTCAATAACGGTAGATTGGGCTTACATCACAAGCATTTCTCAATGTTCAGCATTATGTATGGCAATTCAATACAACATCATTCATTTGGTCCGAATATGGATGAACAGAAAAAGATCTACAAATGGATCCATTCATTTCGTTGCTCTTCAAAGCCACATCGAAATAGATTCCCGTACCAAAAAAAAAGCGAAGAACAAGGCAAAAAAGGGACGAATCTATGCTATGATGAGATCGCATTGATAGAATCATTGCCAAAGACGCAGTTCACTATTAGTTCTGTGTTTTACGTTGACCAATAGGAAAGTATGAAAGGTATCCAGAGATCCGCCTAATTCATTCGAATAGTTGATCATTAACTAAGGTCTATTAGCCAGATTGAGGAAAAAGTACTTCATATTCAAATACAATTCTTCAATGTGTTCGATTGTTTTTAGCAAACACTAAACACTGAACATCACAGGATAGTTTTCTAGTAGATAAAATCTCACTATAGAAATATATTTGGATATTTTAAAGCCGAGAAGAAGGAAAAGAACGGATCAAAAGAACCTTCTTTACAAACCTTTATAACGTTGAACAACGATGCTTGACCACGTCCTCCATCCTTAAAGAATTCGAGTTCAGGATAGGTCCGTGAGATATCACGATGGACGACCTGAAGACAGGGTAAGAAATTGTATTGTATTTTTGAAAAAGAAAACATATAAGTGGAAGCACTTAACGAACAAGTCAATCGTTATAGTTAGCAGAAATCTTAATCACTGCAGCAGTAAATTAAAGCGTAAGGATAAGATTTGTAAAAAGAATACTGTTAAGGCTGACAATTAAACGTTTAAGAATGTCTCATAATTGTAAAAAATTACTGTAGATTTCTGTTAGGCGCACTTCTAGGGATCAGTTTTCAGTATGTGGAAGTTCAAATCTATTGTGGAGTTAAAACTTGAAGAGAAGTGATAAACTCTGACATTAACTTAAAGGTTATTTTCTTAACAAATCTCGATTTCTCATGGAGAAATCCGTTTTCCATATCAGTGCCTAGTGACCCTATCAGCTGCACAATCACATCTAAAAGAATGCCACATATCTTACACCTCAGATAATCCCGTTTCTGAAAAATAAGAATACTGAAACAGAAAACCGAGTCGAAATATGAGATCTCACATAGAAGCGATACCGAACGAGCATTAGATTACCGAGTAAATACCCATTCTAGAAATTGCTTACTACCTTACAGTATAGAACACTATTACAGTCATTTCAGTTTAAATCAATTGAGAGGGAAAAAAGGAGAAAAAATAGAAAAATTTGTGTTCATAAGACGAAGCCAGTAGCTTTCGATAGCATACGAAACATTTAACATATTCGTGATAGTACCGACTTTTCTTTTCGTAATAACCGATACTCTTCTAATTACAAAGTGAACCTGGGAGCGCCGGAAAACTTTGCGCTGTTGCTTCAGTAGTATAGATTTTTTCCCCAGATATTGGTCTTCTTTTATTCCTTCATTAAAATTTAAGGAAGCTTTGACACATTAAGAAAAACTTAAAACTTGACTCTAATGCAGGAGTCGCCAACACTAACTTCGATGACGATAACCAAAACAGAGGAGTTCGTTGAGATCTACGAATGAGAAAGTGATCGTTATAGGACAATTTCATCTTATTTGAGACTTATGTAGATTCAAACTGCTTTCATTTCAAACAAAAAAGTCCACTACTGGCTTAAATATCTGTTTTATTAATGTTTAAAACCTATCCGGGCATGCATTGAGTTCAATGCAAAACGTTGCGAATGGCACGCAAAGAAGCAACAATTCACAATAGAGCAATCAGATGTTGCTCGTTGTCACTGCCTTTTTGCTTAAATTTTAGGCTATGTAGTACATTTGAGATGGTAAACAACGAAGAGCCAATAAAATGACGATCTCAGACTCATCTTAGCATATTCAAGCTATTTTAGAGAGATACCTACTTTCAGCTGAAAATACATAGTTCTGTCTTAATTAATTTCATATAACCAAAACAGAGATATGATACTGCGAAATGAACGTGTTCATTCTCAACATTACAATCAGGGCATTAAGTACCAAGCAATCCTCTCATTAGGGTAGACCAAATCCTTAACATTCTACAAAATATACCTCAGAAGAAAAATCTCATTGATTTTTGCTTTCTAGTGGGCTAAACGTTTAACGTGTTCATTGTCCATGTCTAACAACAAAGATAGGCCATTAATAGCCTAACATGAATACGGCTAATTTGACCTGCCTAACTTTTTCCTTCATCTTTTTCCCTCATTTTCTCACAATGAACAATAAGATCTATTCAAATTCTTAGTGATATATTTAGCATCTCTAAATGACAACTAGAATCCCTAAAACATGTCATAACGCTTCGGTGCAATGTCATTTGAATTTTTATGAAACGTAAAAAGCTCTATGGAAATTGATGGCAATTGTGAGAAAAGCACCAACATCAACGATGTCTATAAGGTAATACATCAGTTTTTTCCTTGTATCGAAGAAGATTCATAAGCGGTTAAATCAAGAGCCTGGAAACCCCTTGGCAAGATTTTTTCATCGTAGTATTGGGAAAACGTGACCGCTAAAGCGTCCATTGAACAAATTCCCAAACAAAATCATGACCTATCCATTTAAGCCTCAATAAAACAACTATACGAGTAGGCTAAAATATATTACACTGTTGGGAACGATGAATTGTTATCTATTTTCGCCATTTCTACCCGTCTTCGATAAATCATAAATTCAAACGATTCCTAAGTTAGATATTTTCCAGACGTTTCGACGCTCACAAGAAAATCATACCAGCGAAAGAATTTTCGTTCCACTTTGTTTAAACAAAGCCAACTTTTTTCTCGGTATCCATTCTCCTATCTTCAATCACAATTCAACTGATACTATCCATTTTCCGTTCATAGTTTTATGTTCTAAAAGTGAAACTTTGGAATGTACAACCCTAGGGCACTAACGACAGTCCTAAGTGTTGATTTGGAAAGCTTTACTCACTTGATGAGAGTACATACGAACGATAAGGTTAAGTGCCCCATGGATTACTATAGGTCACCTCCATTTCTATCGTTTTTTTTTTCACAGACACATCACTAATCACCATAACTTCTGTTGATGACATCGACGGTAAACAGCGAGACCACACCGAATTCGGATGCGACCGATTGTTTGAACAGGAAACCAGCGGTTCTCGTTCTTTACAAACTAGACTGGTTGTTTTTTGGTCAGCATGCGTTGCACGGAATAGAGAAATGTGTCACGTCTTAAGGTTACACCTGAAAACCAGCTACGAATTAGATTACAGTTATGTTGAAGCAATTATACCAATATCGATCACTATATTTAGGCCGAAATCTGTTGTCCCTTTCATAAGTTTAGTCCATGAATACAAAGCAGCTTCATCCCTATAGTGCACGAAAGGGTGTTAATATCCTGGCAATAAGATGGATAAAAATTGAAACGCTCTGCATTTTCAACGTGTGTTCTGCATATGCATAGAAGTCGATTGCAAGATGAGAAAGCAAAAAAAAACGACAAAAGACAAGAAAAAAAACAAAAGAAAAATATTGGTTAGCAAAGAAGTTTTGTTCAAAAGTCGGAAAACCTATGTGTGAACATCACAGTTGTAAAGTCGTCATTCATACGACGTAATAAACACACCGTATGTACTGGATACATACTCACTTTTTTTCTATGGTTAAATAGAAATCTAACTTTATTAAACTAATCAACTCTTCCTACCTTCTCATAAACAGATGACTGCCTCATGTAATCCGAATATGCTTCATGTATAGATGAAATGGATGCATTTGAAAGTAGTTGCCAAGCAATCGTTCGAAAATGCTGTGGTATACCTCGTTTCACTAACATCTGTAAACAATTCACAATCACATGCAGTTAATGTAGTGCAATAATGGTTAGTGATAGAAATAAAGTCAACGTGCATAAACGAATATGTTCGATGCTGTAAGAACAACGACAACAATGGCATTCACATAGCTAAAAATACTTCACCTCATGATACGAAACTGAACACCAGCATTGAATCATGAGGATAACAGTGATTTTAAAAACAACTAAACTTAAAACGATCGATGAACTCAGAACTCAACAGTAATGACTAATGTGAAGTCGGCCTGTGAGCAGCAGCACATATGTGCCAGTTCACGTTTTTCAAGCGTCACCACACGAGAATTGTTGATGAACGTTCCTTTTCTTCAGTTTTCTTTTTGTCTTTGTCCATATTAGAACATAAGAGAACAAAACAAAACAAAAAACGAAACTTTACATGATTCGGTTAAGAAGCAAGATTTCAGTGCTAACAATATTTTCAATACATCTAACTACTAACGTTAACTATGAAGGCCATTATCACTTGATTTTTCTCCCAATATTTCACTATCTCAGGGCTCAACTACAATTATTTTCCACCTGTACTATCAACAGCTGCTATTACACATCTATTTCAGTTTCTACTTCAACACACTTAATTGTAAATGTAAGCGAAAAGCATACAAAGGAAACTGTAACAACAATAAGATTTTCGTGAACACGTAAAGAGTAAAAGCAGCTAAGAGAAAGGAGAAACAAAGGACCCGCATGGTGTAGTGGTGAACACGCTAGCACCCAGAAAGGGTGTTAGCGCTTCCGTTCCCCACCCCAGACACCTGCGGTTCGGAGTTTTGCAAATATCTTAGTACCATTGTCGTTGTATCATGTAAAGAGTAGTTGAGATCGCAATTATGGAAATATAAGGATAATTTAGTTGTATAGGTTTAATCAGTACGTCCTTAGATCCCATTAGAATGCAAATCGAGTCGTAGTCGATCAGAATTTGTTGTTTCAGATCTTCTCGATGGGATAATAATCGAACGAATCTTTAGCGCGTTTGCCTGATAGGTCGGTCCCATTGCGATATGTGAAATTTATATTGCAAACATTTGGCAGATTAGAAAAAAACGTAAAGTGAAAAAACTGTTTCTGGAAAGCACATTTACACACCACATTAAAGCATTATGGATTAATTTTCTATCACATAACGAATATTGCGGAAAAAGTTACTATTCGTACCTTGATAGTATTCGGATTCTTTTTCACTTCTAGTTCCCAGTTGCGAATTACATCACCCCAGATGCTCCACAAATCCTCCTCGTCGTCTTCAGTTGACGGGCTTGGTTCGTGAGTTTTTGGACTGCCACTTGAGCCACTTTTACGTGATGCTACACTTTTAGTGTCCTCTTCATTTGACCTAAGATTAATATGATGATGAAAGTTATTACAATATTAGAGGAGACTGTGCAATGTATCTCGTTTAGAAAAAACCGCCATTTATGGAATTCCAAACCGAAGAAAACGAGATCGCTAGAATCATAATTCACTTATGCAAATGATTAATGACAATCGGCCCAAGATGACTAAGCACATTCGAAACTCTGGATTTTTGCATTGTCAGACTCTAAAGAGTTCGAATTTCTAGGATGAATTTATGCTATGCTGCACTATTAGTGTAATGTATATACGAATAAAGTTTACATATTAATACAGATAACTGGAATGTCAGGTATATTCCCATGATCCGGAACAAATCGTCAATGATTACAATTAACCAATGACTAAAATTAGTGCGATTAATTCTTAAGCGATTGCAGAACTTATGGTGTATATTCAATCCCTAGTGACAATATGACGAATCCTTCAGGGAATGAACATTAGTTATCGACCGCGGCTTAGGGTACAGACGTTTGACATCTTTACTGGTCCATTAGAAGAAGAATAACTACAAAGAATACCGAGTAGTGGTTAAAAAATAGCTTAATTTTAAGAATTTCTTCACTTAAGTGAAGAAATACTATGATTTCACTGAAGACAAAAACAAAAAAAGGCTAGGGTTAGGATTACGAAAAGGAAATCTAAGTGACAGATTCGTCTACATTGAAAAATGAACAGATTTGAAAATACTACAGATTGCTCAAATTAGACGATATAAAGAAATGAGTAATAAATGAGAGAAAGAGGCTCGAATCGAGCACGTACCTATTGAGCTGTTCCATTTTGATGAGAACATCAACTTCCGGGCTAGAAAGGCCAGTATTACAAGTGGGCGGTGTCGAAGCCTCGGCAGCCGGCTCTGTTCTTGCTGAAAATTCGTAAGTCACGAGAAAAAAACCAAATATATAAACCCATTAGATTTTGACTCATACGAGCACAATAGTACAATCTTGTATCATCCTAACCACTGCATCTAACTTCTCCAACAAAACGCATTTATACCTCTAAGTGTTAGTTGTTGGAAGAAATTCATTTAATGAACTAACATCGCCAACATCAAACGGTAGCGCTCTCTCTGCAACTCTGTTTTGCAATATCTCTAATTTCTAGAAATATTGCCCAGTTGGGAAAACGATTCCAACTAAAGTATCGTGGAGTTCTTGATATTTTCATGACCTCGCCTAACTTTTCTTATGCACATGCTTGCATTTTATTGCAAGTAAACATGGTGTTGTAGTAAAAAAAATGCTTTCAGATGTTAGCACTCATGTTCTATAATAGGAATTCATAGTTATATGACGAAAAGCTAAGCTGAGAACGAAGAACTGAACTCAGATAGAAAAACACCGACTTCGAAAATCTCTCATTTCTTTCTCGACCTGAGTAATCGCTATGAAGTACTCAAAAAAAAAAATCGAGCTAGGGATAATTGAGTGTGGGGTTTCGCTTGACGACTTTGTTAATTGATGAATTTCAATTTAGGTAACAGACTGATTAGAAAATTATCACAGACAGTTTCAAACGAATCCCGAAGAGATGAAGAAAATGCTCCATCAAAGTACTCGAGACAGACAACGCGCCACATAAGGGGACAGAAAATGACGAATGAGATGTCGTTTATTATAACAAAAATCCAGCACTTGTCCTTTTCTCTTACAAGATGCTCAAGTATTAAGCGAAATACCAAAGCATAGCAGCAAGCATATGGAGAATCATCGCAACTCTAACCAAGTAAGACCTTAATAGATCAGATAGTTAAATTACGGTGAGATTGAATTTACGTATGAAAAAGAAAGAAGGACAAAAGCGAGATCTATAGAGATGAAGTCTTTATGACCAACTTTTACAGTTCTTTGGTGATTCAGCAACTTTTGTACTCATTAGTAATGTATGAAATTCACGCACAACACGTCCAAAACATTTTGGACATTACGTTGCTGAGATATTTGCAAAACTCTAGACAGCAGGTGTCTATGGTGGGGAACGAACGCGCTATTTTCCTTTCCGGGGAGTAACGCGTTCACCACCACACCATGCGGGTCCTTCGTTTCTATCGATCTTAGAAATAGCTGAGAGATCTTAGAAATAGCTGAGAGACAGGCGAAACGAAGGACCCGCATGGTGTGGTGGTGAACGCGTTACTCCCCGGAAAGGAAAATAGCGCATTCGTTCCCCACCATAGACACCTGCGGTCCAGAGTTTTGCAAATATCTCAGCAACGTTGTGGTTGTATTTCGCTTAGTAACCTGCCATGAAAATTATAGAAGGCAGAAAACAAAACGTTAAACATTTTGGACATTGTTCTGATCGGGGAACACTGAACGATGCAGTCAAAAAACGAAAAAAGAAAGAAGGAGGTAATAAACAACAGGAACAGCTCGTTAGTGGTAGAGATGTGTGTGTGTGTGTGTGTGTGTGTGTGTGTGTATGTGTGTGTGTGTGTGTGTGTGTGTGTGTGTGTGCGTGTGTGCGTGTGTGGTTTCGGTCAAGATGAAGAAAAAACGAGAAACAAGAAAGAAAATGGAATAAGAACGCCTAAGGGCACATCCAGTGAACTCACTGCAGTACTGTAAAGATCATAATAACAGATGATACAACGAAAATTGGGATAAACACGTGCAATGATCGAACGACGTATTGTTAAGGGATTACGGGGGGAGGCGCGAGAGTTGGTCTGTGCCGTCACTAATAAAACACAGCCAAACACGGACCGCTACGAATCGATCGATAGTCGTCGCAACATTGCAACAAAGAAAGAACAAGAAGGACATACACGCACACACACGTAGAAAACGAGGACATGGAGGAGGAGGAGGAGGAGGAGAAGGAGGAGAAGGAGGAGGAGGAGGAGGAGAACGGGAAGGAGACGTAGATCTGGGACATCCACGACGAAATTCAATGAATGATCATCGGCCGCGGTACCAGCAGAACAGACCATCGATCTAATCGTGATTCAGTTCTTATTGAAGAAGACTGTGATAGACAAACGGATGAAAGTATAGAGAATGGGGTTACGGTGAAACGTTAAATTCAGAATTGTCTACAAAGTTCTTAGACAAACTCATGGTAGTGATGATCAATATCATCTACCTTTTACAACGTGCTTGCTGCTCTTTTTTCACTTTTTTTTTCCTCTTTGGTTGCGATTCGAACAACAGCCGGCAAAATTTAGTGGCACAAGGTGAGGCGATGACTCTTGCTATCCTCCAGGACCTCTACTCGTTCTTTTCTTCTCCTTTTTTTCTTCTTCTTCTGTTGGGAATCATTAGAAAACGTCCATTAACGAACGATTCGGCTTCGATTTTTTGGTGAACATTGCCCTGCTTAAAAATTCTATACAATCTAATACTCTAGTTGAAGTAGTCATCATTGAATATGCATAAAAGTTGTAGTAACATTTTAGTCTTGTATATTTAAAGTTTCTGAGATACTGATAGAGATGAGATTCGTTACTTAAGAACAATATAAAAAACACCATATGGAAACAGAGTGAAACTAAAAGCATTAGGATGAGGAAAAAGGAGCTAGAAAAGGAGTAAGAAAAGATAAACAAAGAGAAGAACATTACCATGATCACGATTGTGGCGAATCGCAGTAGCAGCCGCCATGGATGGCGTAAAAAATTGGAAGAACTGCAAAAAAGAGATCCACACCAAAATGCACGTGTACACACCAATGCAGAGCCGAAATGGTAATCACAGTACGGAAGAATGAATCTGAAACCTGTATCTGATGGCAAAAGAACACCAACGAACGACGTCAAGCAGACTGAATGCAAAACAAGTTTCAACATTTGTAATAATATTATATTGACATCAATACATGAGAAATAATCCATGCAACGATGTATCCCATTGTACAATTGGCAGGCATACTGTGTGTGGTGAAGATGACAGAAATGAAAAACACACAAAACGATGGAATTGTGAATGAAAGAATGAATAGCGACTGGAAAATGACGAATACTATATGGAAGGCTCGATTACAACAACGAAAAACACAAGCTTAGTTTGGACTGAAACCGTTTACAGAGATCAAAATGAACGTGATGAAGTAAGGAAAATGTCACAAAGATATATTGGAATGAGCTTCACAACAAATTCCTTTAGAAGTTTTCTGCGTATATGAGATACGTAGAAGTAGAATCTGCAATACGAGAACTTGAATTAATTTAGACTAAATAATTATCTCCTATTTTTGGTCAGAACATGGTAAGACTGACATCACAGTGTTAAGAACTTGTCGACTTATAGTTAATTGAAAAATATGCGACAAAAGAAAAGGAGAACACCAAGTCATTACTAGATAAGGAAAATAGAATTGGCACATTCTATAGACTCTTCTGGAGTTTCTAAACTCTATTTAGTTTAAATGAAGTGTGCAACAGCACGATGCACAATCATGAATGCAGCAGTACAGTGGAAGCACAATCATGACCACAGCCGGCCCCGGCTGTCGGGCGGACGATTGGCGGAGGTGGACTTGACGGGCGGGTGCCGGTCGAGGATTGTCATCGAATCGGGAACGGAACGACGTGGGTGAACCAGCGGAGTAGTGGATTCGGTAGGGAACGATGTATATGAACCAATGGAGTGGTCGAATGGGGAGGGAATGATGTGGGTGGACCAGCAGAGTCGTCGAATGAGGAGGTAATGACGTTTGTGAACAAGCACTTAACGATCACATCTAACTACCTCGATTGGTGGCTGGCGGCCGTCACGAACGGTATTATATGAGAATCATCCGATCCGGTCACGGAATCTTTTCCCATCATCATCATCATCATCATCATCATCATCATCATCATCATCATCATCATCATCATCACAGCTCCCGTCTCGATTTCACACGCATTCCACGATTCGGCCTAATTTTTCTCGTTTTTTTTCTTTTGAGAGCAAAAAGGAAGAAAAAACACCTAATCCGTTCATACGTCTTTTTACACCGTTTTTTGTTCGTAAATAAACTATTTGTTGGGTTCGTTACATCCTGATCGGATTACAGGAGTGTTATTTGAGATGAAATGACGACTTTAACTGCTTTAAAACTATACGAACAAATATTGGAGCATAACGATAATAAACGTTAAGGAAATGATTGCACTCTTACCTTTAGAACTAGCGTCATTTCACCTACAGACAATCGCCGATCATTTAATTTAAATAGGTCTAGACACTAAGAAAACTTGAAATATCGAAAAAACTAGTTGTTTGTCGGCAGATTGAGGCCAAACGCCTTATCGGTATACTACTTTCATCGCCACTTATTTGCATTATTTACACTTAAACTTCTCATTATCTGGTCGATGACTAAAAGTCTAAACGTCTGTGTTAACTCTTGGTTACAAGGCACGTAGGTGTGACTTCTTCACAGTGGTCACAATTAATATTATCACATCAAAGGCTGTAAGCATGTAGTACTTACATTATCAACAAATATTTTCTACTAAAATTAAAGAACGAATTCGAGCGTTAAAAAATAGCTCAAAATTTAGCTAGAGAATGCCGCTAGATGATTAATAATTGTGACGAATAAGCAAACATTCGGACCACACAGTGTGACAAAACGTTTTGCGATAAGGAAAGAGTAATCACTCGAAAAGCTAGAGGAATGATAAGGAAACGAGAGACATTCGTTTCGATTATTGATTTTGTTGCACGAAAGAGTAGCTTTAGTAGTAAGCTGGTTGAACGATGATAGTAAACAACTGCAGTGAAATTTCACGAAAAAGTGACGTCACTAAATTTGTCAGCTTTAATTCAGATTTCTTCAAAACCAGTTTTTATGAGGTTAACCTTCGTTGGAAGACTGTTTACATTGCTGGATTAGTGGGAGAGATCGATAATCCGACGAATCCGATGATTCC